GACTTGTTAGGACTTTGAAATAGATTCTGTGATGAACAGGAAGCCAATGAAGAGAAGACAGGACAGGTGTTACATGTTCATAGCTGTGGGTACCAGTTAAGAGGCGGGCAGCAACATTTTGAATGAGCTGAAGACGAGCAAGAGATCGTTGTCTGACTCCAAAAAACAGTGCATTACAGTCAAGCCGTGTTGAAATAAAGGCATAGCGCTATATAAATCGAATCCATTATTATTATTATTATTATTATTATTATTATTATTACCTTCTCCATGTCACGTCTTGACAAAACTGTCTTCAGCTTAGCTATTTGCCTCAGCTGGAAAAAGCTTTTTTGCAACACTGAACTAATGTGTTTGTCCAAGTAAAATCTGAGTCCATAATGACTCCCAAGTTTGTCACGTGCTGCTTGATATAAGACCCCAGCCAACCACAATTTACGAGCGGGCTGCATGAAATATTATTAGGTCTAAATACAATCACCTCCGTTTTACTCTCATTGAAACTCAAAAAGTTCAGAGCCATCCAAGCTTTGATATCAAGGCAGTTCAAAAGGATTTGGATGGAGCCTGGGCCATTTGGTGCTAAAAGCAAATAAATTTGGCAGTCGTCTGTGTAGCAGTGAAAGGATATTTTGTGTTTTCTAACAATAGACCCCAAAGGGAGCAGGTATAATGAAAAACGAAGAGGGCCAAGGATTGAGCCCTGAAAATCAAAAGTAGTTAAAAATGGCCAGTTATACCCTGGACCCCAGAGGGTTAAATATTTTTTTAAAGTAATGCAATAGTTACTTTTCAAGTAATTAATTACTTTTAGAATCTTGTAACTCAGATACTAACTCAGTTACTTTTTTGAAGAAGTAACTAGTAACTATCATTATGCAAAAAAATCTGATTGGCTGTTTTTGTCTCCAATCAGCTCGAAATCATGAAATGCAATATCCCAGAATCCATTTCGTCCAAAACTCAAACGAGGCAGTGGCGGAGGAACACAGTGGCAGAGTTTGAAATATTATTCTTTCTGGGTCACAAAATAAACTTTTAAGATATTTTCATGCGAGAATGTTTCTGTGTAAACTTCAAATATCTGCTCGATTCATCAAGACATCACATATTTGCATAACTGCTCTAACGTTTTCGGAGATGCCTGTTACCCACCAGCTGACCGGGTCACTCGGGTTAAACATAATATACAAGGCTGAAGTGACAAAAAAATCGCCGACTACACCACCAGGTATTATAGGAAAAAACATAAAGCCTTTGAACTAAAACAAACGCTGCTGTGACAGTGATGTACACTGTGTTGTTGGTATATATGTATGAAATTTATCACCTTCATGTTTCCCTCTCACCACATATCCAAACCGATATCATGACCAGCAGCTTTTACAGCTGTGGCTCCAGCAAACATCAGCTGATACTAGAAATTAATTTTAAATAAATTCTAACAACAGCTGATCAAGCTTGAACGTGCTGCTGTTGTTGTTTAGCGCAACATCCGCTGGTTTCCTCTTTCTGGGCAAAGTGGGAGATAAACAAACAAGAGAGACGATCAGCTGATCATTGATCAGTTTCATGATTGAAGTAGCAACAGGAGAGGGAGGGAAGAGAGAATGAGGGGAGAAGAGGCAGCTGTGCAACGTAAAGACAGAATAACTCCAGCTTTGTGTCTTTTTCATTCTAGCTAAAGTACGGGACGAATCGCGTTCCTTTTCCTCTCAATATGGATGTGTTGTAATTGGTCCAGCCCAGAGTTGATCATGACCAATTGGCTAATCCACCACCTTTCATTGTTTATACCGTTACAAAAACAAACAAACATAAAAATGAAAAATCATCATCGGCCCACCGGGCAAATGTCCGGGATGCCCAATGGCCAGTCCAGCTGTGCGGTCAGCTGGTGGGTAACAGGCATCTCTGAGAATGTCAGAGCAGTTATGCAAATATGTGATGTCTTGATGAATCGAGCAGATATTTGAAGTTTACACAGAAACATTCTCGCATGAAAATATCTTAAAAGTTTATTTTGTGACCCAGAAAGAGTAATATTTCAAACTCCGCCACTCTGTGCTCCTCCGCCACTGCCTCGTTTGAGTTTTGGACAAATGCATTCTGGGATATTGCATTTCATCATTTCGAGCTGATTGGAGACCAGAACAGTCAATCAGATTTTTTTGCATCCAAGTCTGTGATTGGCTGGTTTTGTGGCACAAATATAACGGTGTAGAGAAAGAGTTGAGCGAGCACGGGCAGAAATGTTGAGAGCGCGAGCAACACATTGCAAGCGAGCGCAAATACAAAAACTGAGTGAGAGGGGCTGCTGTTGTGTGTGTGTGTGTGGATAATAGCAAACACTGAAATACATTTTTTGCACGCAGCAATGAATTTTGTTCACTCAAATTCAGCTTTTCTTCGCTCAAAATAAATTTCTCCTCAAAATGCAACACTTGCACCTGCAAACTTTTTTTTACGTGCGCTCAGAATAGTGGCACAAAAATAACGCCATACCTCTGGTCCCTTCACCTCAAAGAAGTGGTTTAGCTTCTCTGCAGCGCCACTTTTCCAAATTTGTAGGGTGCATCCTCCTGAGGACCCGGCCTTTGTGGTCTACATGCCCCCCCCAAAACAAAAACAAACAAACAAACAAACAAACAAACAAACAAAAGAAAACAGTTTCAAAATGCATGAAACGTGTGTTTAGCTGTGGTAACTAATTATTGTGGAAAGATCACAGAGAAACACTGATGATGTCATAAATCACGACACACTGGGCTGCCTTTATACTGGCCCTGTGTTTACTTGGTACTGGTTCAATACCAAAATTTGCAGTATGGTAAAGCACGAATGACTGACCTGCTGCTGAAGCAGCCACACCTCTGTGTGACATCATCAACACCGGAAATTACACCTGTTTTCACCTACCGCATCTGCAGAATGAGATTTATATTCTTATGGCTGTTTTCAGCCTACTCTGAGGGGGCTAAACTCGCGGGAGCTCCTCATGTTTGAGTCTGCAGCAGGTGGGCTTTCTCATCGTCCTCCAATCACAGATCATTTCCACTCCTGAAACTGAAGCAGGCCGAGAAACGTCATCAAAGGTCAGACACCTGGACAGAGGGTTAGATCTGAGGCTCTGACCCAAACATCCAGACAGCTGATGGTGATGAAGACGTAGGCTTCACATCATCAGTGTGTTAATCCTACCGAGTGCCTCCGCAGAGGCACAGCAACCAGACCGTTTTACTCACTCACCGCTCCGACGAACACCTGCACAAACAAACATCTGCACAAATAAACAAACATCTGCACAAACATCTGCACTCTCAGTGCTGCTGCTCCTGCTCGCAGATGTTCGGAGGAGGAATGAACATGCTCCCCGTTCTTGCTTCATGAGTAAGATCACATTTTTGGCACATTTTTCGTCGCAGTATTGGACGAAAACAAATCAAAGAACATTTAACGCTGTTATTTCAACGTTTTCACGCGTGCGCGGATGTTTAATTGACACTTCTCCTTTAAGAGAGCTTTTCCTTTAACACACCTGACCACACCTGAGCTGGACTTCCGGGTCTTTCACAAAGAGAAGAAACAACAACAAGTCGGCGGAAGAGAGCCGGGACCAGGATTAAAACCAGGTTTAAAACCCGGCCCAGGTCTTCAGCGAACAGGTGGGTTTTTTCTTAGTGTGAATTTCCGCTCCGTTAGCATGTAGCCTGTTAGCTCGGAGCTCAGTCACAGTTTTTATCATATTTGATCACAAACGTCACGTCGCCATGTTAACTTGAGACTGACGTCATGCAATGGGCGGGACTACCGCCACCTGCAGCTTGTGTTTAGTTTGTCACATAAAAAGCATAAAAACAGAAATTTTTGAACACTCCCGCGCGCACACGCACGCACGCATATAAACAGACAGTTGCGTCAGATACAAAGCTGCGTGTAAGAGTCTGTATTGATTATTGATCATCAGATCAACACGAAACTTTCACACCTTCGTTCGTCCACTCTGAGCTCTGAGGGAGCCTCAGGAATGGAAACGACATTTTTTCGCCTGATCTGTTCCAGAGCAGGTTAGATTAACAGCATCAGTTACCATGGTGATTTACCTCAACAAGCAGTGAATCAGCTTCATAGTTACATGAAGTTACCTGGGGCTTAGTGGCGATGTGGGCCCCTCTAAAGATGGGAGGGTTTGAGGGTCATCAGAGAGGATGGGTTTGTCTGGACCGAAGTCCTGCACTTCTAAAGTAACAAGCATAAAGCAGAACAACAGGAGACTAAATCTGAGTAAGAACAACACAAAAGCATTCAGAGTTCATCCTGATATCAAACCAGAGAATAAAGATGAGTTTGATGTCAGGGCCTGATGTGAAGAAGACCCGATCCCCTCTGTGCTTTCCTCTGGACCACAGTCATCCACTGTGCAAACGTCAGAAATCAGAGAGGGAACAAGAAACCAGAATAGAAAAGAATAGAATGGGCCTTTATTTTTCAGAGTCAACGAAACGAGGTTGTTTTCCCACCGCGGAGCACCTGGGTTTACCTCCATTCTTGCCGGTCAGCTCTTTTTTTGCTTCCGAGGCCTCATCGGAGGAAGAGAGCAGGCTTTTTTGTGCTGCTTTGTCGGCTTTGCAGAGAACTGGATCTTCAGGGGCTTTACTCTTGGGCTGCTGCCAGTAAAATACGCTTGAGACTTGTTGGAGCTGGTTTAATCCCCACAACCCCCTGTGTTTACCATCCGGGTTGTCACCTGAAAGCATGGAAAGCCACGGCTCATCACAATAGGAACCCTGATTTACTGTGTGGCTTACTGCACGGTGCGGACTCTGTTCCAGGCTATTCTACACCTGTCCCGGTGGGTCTCAACATTAAAATGATGTTAATTAATGCCCGCTCAATTGCCAACAAGTCTTATATTTTAAATGACTTGTTCTGTGCAGAGACGCTTGATTTAATGTTTATCTATGAGACGTGGCAGCGTGAGAATGAAGTCTCACATCTTTTAGAGCTGTGTCCCACAGACTGTTCACTGTGCGCCTCGGGTATCTCGACGAGGAGGTGGAACAAGCTGTAATTTTTAAAAAGACATTTTCATGCCAGGTGATCTCTTCGAGCTGTTACAACTCTTTCGAGATGGTTATGATAAAATTTGGCAGAGATCAGCCCATGTACGGTATCTTAATTTATCGTCCACCTGGGTCTGCTGCGTCTTTTCTGGCAGACTTGCAAGAACTTTTAACTTCCACTATTAAACTGGGCTTGGTCATCATTGTTGGAGACTTCAACATTCATGCAGAGGACTCATCAAATAGTACCACTAAGGAGTTCCTGAGCATTATGGATTCTTTTAATTTTGTTCAGCATGTATCAGGCCCTGCTCACACTGCTGGGCACACTCTGGACTTGGTCTTCACTTATGGCGTTTCCCTTGACCACTTGAATTTAAATGACGTTGTCTTTAGCCACCATAAGTCAGACTCTTTTAATGTGTCAACTCAGTCTCTTCCCCAAGATTTTGTTAGGTGCAGGCCCTTTATTGATGACTCTGTTTGTTGGTTGTTCCCCGTACACGAATGAAGACAAAAGGGGGCGGAGCCTTTCAGTCTGTTGCACCAAGGCTGTGGGACAGTCTACCTCCACAACTACAGCTGTGTCCCAAAACGTTGGCTGCATCCTTCGGAGGACCCGGCCTTCGCGGTCTACGTGGGCCGGGTCCTTCAAAGACCAAGAAGGCCGGAAGTGCGAGGTTGTGAAATGTGACGGTCTCGCCTTCAGATTTGCGTCACCGCTGTCTCGGTGGAGTTTAATAAACTCGGCCGTCTGCTCCTTGCTATCTAAAATATAACAGGACACTGGCGTAAATTATCGACCGTCTCACACTTCTGTTTAATCAGTTTTCTGTTTGATGTTTATTCAGCTGTGTGAAAATCCCGGAGGAACCCACCCGATGGATTAATAAAGTTTTATTTAATCTAATAATCTAATAACTTTGATCTCAGCCAAACGATTTACTCCGGAACAAATAAAACACAGAAAAAAGGCAAACAATTAAATTTTTATGTTATCCGAGTGACTTATATATCATGTTTAACCTGAGTAGCGAAAGAGCACGGGTCTGAAAACGATGAAGCCAGGAGTCCGCTGCTCTCGCCGGCTGGAGTGACCATTGAACCCCCCGGCTAGCTATCGAGCTGGTGGGTAACAGACGTCTCCGAAAGCGTCGGCACACTTTTGCAAATATGCGACGTCTTGATTAACCAAGCAGATATTTGATGTTTACACAGCTACTTTCTCGCCTTAAAATATGTTAAAAGTTTATTTTGTGGCCCAGAAATAATAATAAGAGTAATTTTAAAACTTAGCAGCGGCCGCCATTGTTGGAAACTGGAGTTTGGCTGGGCCGCGCTATGAATTCTGGGATATGGTGGGCCACGAAGGACACACCCGACCCATCCTTCAAATTCGGGGAAATGAAGGACGCATTTGTCGGCCGCATTTGAAGGAGTCGACGAATTGGAACAGCCTTCGTTGCCTGGCTGTGACGTAGTCAGCCTTCAAATGCGGCCTCCGGAGGATGCAGCCGACGTTTTGGGACACAGCGTACGTTTGGTTGACTCTGTGGAATCCTTTAAAAAGCAGTTAAAAACTTTTTTGTTTAAACAGGCCTTCTGCTAATCAACAATTTTGAATTGTTTTGAATTTGCATTGTTTATATTGTCTATTTTATTACTTAATATTTTCTTTATTTTGACCTTTGTGTACAGCGCTTTGTGACTGCCTGTCTACGAAAAGCACTTAATAAATAAACCTTACTTACTATGGGCGCTCCCCGCCAACTGTGCCGGAGTTCAAATGTAAATAGTAAATACACGTTGGGAATAAATGACACACAAAAATAGGAAAGGCACACAGCGGAGAGCAAAGAAAAGACTTGGACTGAATGTGTGTCCTGAGTGATGGGGGTCACACAGGCCATGGCTCGGGTGGGTGGGTGGGGTGCATTTGCTAAATCAATCATGAAACTTAGGTGAAGCATTTTTTAAATGTTTGTGATTCAGAATTTCATGTTGAGAAGAATTCTACATGCTTTATTGTGATGGCAGCGAAAGTGTCGTCTGTTGGGTTCAAACATCAGATTTCAAAATGATCTTTCACAGTTTATATAAATGCAGGAAGCCAGGAGGTGGAGAAGGAGGCCTGCATTATGCCTTAGTGATCAACCACATCACACCTGAAGTACTCCAGTGTTTACTCCAGTGTTTACTCCAGTGTTTACTCCAGTGTTTCAGCACACACAGGTCGTGAGCTGTGTGCGACACAGTTCCTCGTATCACCTGTTTACTGTTCACTTGGATTTACCTGACCCACTCTCTGTTCTCCGGCAGGTGCATTTGCTCACAAAACAGGACGCGCCATGATGGAGGACAGCGGAGGGAGGAAGACCAGAGAGGACGAGGAGACGGTGAGCTCAGTCGTGACCGAGACGAGCACGCTGCCGTGGTCTGCAGACAGACAGACAGGTGGACGGACAGGTAAAGCTGACAGGATGAGCGTGAGGTCAGGTGTGTTTCTTCCCGAGGCGTCGAGCTGCACAGAGAGCGAGAGAGAACTGAAGGCAGAGGTGGAGAGGAGGGGCGGCAGAGCAGGTTTAGACGAAGGAGCGGAGCTACGTGAGGATAAAACTAGGGTACACCTGTTGGAGGAGGAGCCCCGAGAGAACCTCCTGCCAGAGAAAGCTGCTCAGGTGTTCAGGCCTGCAGTGACTGCCCTCCACTCCCCCTCCTCACTCAGAGAGTCTGGGCCGCTCTGGGAAATGGAGTCCGAGAAGAGTCCCTTCCTGGGTCCCCGAGGAGTTCCCGAGAACTACAGTCAACATTATTACCTGCCCGAGGACCTGCGCTCCAATAAACGTAAGTACTAACTCAGAGACTATGTCAGAAAATCACATCACCTTGCATCAGGAGGAAATGGTCAGGGGGTCAGGCACACCTGAACAGAACCACCTTAAAATAAGTGGATTTTAGACGACACTCAACTAAAACGACTGGAATGACTCGGATACTTATACATATTGGTGAAACCAGTTGAGGGGTTTTGTTTTTTTTGTTTTTTTTTTAAAAAAAGTAAAGTTAAAATTTTATTTATATAGCACCAAGATAAAATCACAAAGTGCTTCACAGAAGCAGAAACATGAAACCTCAAACAAACAAAATCAACCAAAAACAAGTTTAAACAGGTTTTTAACTGCTTTTTAAAAGACATGACTGAGTCCACAGATCTCAAAGTGAAAGAGTCATTCCAGAGTCTAGGGGCCACTGATACAAACGCTCTGTCACCTTTTGTTTTTAACCTTGTATGCGGGGCAACCAGCAACCCTGGTCACAAGACCTCAGGCACCTGCTGGGACGATAAGGAAGAAGAAGATCACTGATGTAAGTTGGAGCTACACCGTGCAGGGCCCTATAGGTCATGATTATGATCTTAAAATTGACCCTGAACTTGACGGGGAGCCAGTGCAGTTGAATCAGCAGGGGCGTGACATGGGAGTATTTGTGATGCTTTGTCAGAAGCCTGGCAGCAGCATTTTGAACACCCTGCAGTCGTTCCAGGGAGGCATTACTTAAGCAAGTAAACAAGGAATTACAATAATCTAAGCGAGATGAAACAAAAGCATGAATAATCATTTCCAATTAGGAACGTGACACAATGGGACTCAGCTTAGCGATATTTCTTAAATGGTAAAAACAAGAGCGAACCAAAGATTTAACGTGTGTGTCCAGCGTCAGAGCTGGATCAAATTTAACACCAAGGTTACTAATGGAGGGTTTAATATAAGAAGCAAGAGGGCCTCGATTTTTAACCACGAGGGGAACAAATTTCTCAGGACTTCAGTTTTACCAGCATTTAGTTAGTTGATAATTATCAGCCAGCCAATCTCTAATGGAATCTAAGCAGGACTGCAAGATTTAGAGCTTAGAAACATCAGGTGGCCTAAAAGAGATATATAGCTGAATATCATCTGCATAACAATGATATGAAATATCAGAAAAAGAGCTATAATAATAATAATGGATTGCATTTATATAGAGCTTTACAATGCCACTATTCATTCACTCTCACATCCACACACTGGTGGAGGCAGCTACGGTTGTAGCCACAGCTGCCCTGGGGCAGACTGACAGAGGCGAGGCTGCCATATCGCGCCATCGGCCCCTCTGGCCAACACCAGTAGGCGAAGTGTCTTGCCCAAGGACACAACGACCAGGACAGAGAGCCCAGGGATCGAACCGGCGAGCTTCCGGTTACAGATGTTGGAACAACACTAATAATTTGTGTGACATCTGATTGTTTTGTGCAAAAAATGCCAGAGACTGTTAACAGTTGCACAGAACTTTTATTTTTTCATCACAAGTTCTGAAAATGATTTGTTGAACATGTTTCCTGCTCTGATTTTTTTAAGGCTAGTTGTGTCACTACAGTATGTCAAAATTAAAACATGACTGTAAATTCAGACACGTGAAGTTGTGCGTAAAAGAATGATGCCAAACATGGTGAGGGAGTCGAAAACAGCAGGTTCTACCCTGGACTCCAGGGGGTTTAATTACCTGCCCCTGTTTATACACCTGTGCACCTCTGACTGCTGCCTCCATTAACTCATTTTTCTCACCTGTGTCAGGAGGGCAGTGCTGTCTCAGTACGGATGTCCTGAAGATGGGCGTGTCTCTGATGGCCTCGGCGTTCTTCTTCCCTTTACTCGTCTGGGGTGGTTTTGTGTTTCTGCCATTTGACGCCCCGCTGCTGGATGGTGCCCCCCTCCGGCTCGTCTACACGCTGCGCTGCTCTGTGTTCGCTGCCACCCCCATCGTCCTTGGTGAGTCACACACCACCGAAAAAGAGATGCAGAATCTCACCTGTCTCACCTGTGTGCGTCTCACCTGTTCTTTAGGTTGGCTTGTTCTGGGCATCTCACGGCTAAGGTCAGGTGTGCTTCGTCCTCTGTTTGATGATGAGATAAAGGAGGCGGAGCTACAGGAAGTCACTGTCCACCAGCGCTTCATCTCTGACTCTGCCTCGCTGTTCCTGATTTACTTCCTGCAGCTGGTCGTTATGGCGATGTACCTTAGCCAGGAGCAGCTGAAGCTTGTGCCACTCCTGACCATCCTCTTTGCTTTTGGAAGGTGAGGATCCATCCACGATGTGATCAGTCGATAAGGGCATCGATTGATGAATCTAATGGCGCTTCCGTGTCTACACAGGTTGGCGTACTGGGTCGCGGCGGCATTTGGCAGCAGCATTCGTGGATTTGGTTTTGGCATCTCCTTCCTGCCAAGTGTCATCATGATGGGAGCAAACTTCTACTTCATCTTCACGATGGATGCGGCGAGTTCCATTTTCAGTGATCCCCATGACGAGGCGCCGCCTCAACCTGCAGGCCGACAACGATTCTGGGGATAAGACACAAGCAGTGATTGATGATTGTCATTATCGATTGAAAAGTAAAAGCTGTCTTTATTTTGAGGTTTAAATGCTTTAAACTGACCAGGCGTAGCCCCGCCCAGCTGGTGTGCGCGGCGCTTGTTTTTTCCTTTATTAAACTGCTTCCTGTTGATCTTTTTTTTCTGTGTTTTATTTTCTACAATTGTTTTTATGATCAATAAATTAAAGAAAAGAGACTGTAATCTACAAATTTTCACAATAAATGTTTGAAACTATCACATCGTTTCCTGTCTGCAGTGTTTCAGAATAATGTTGGTACAACAAACCTTTTTTTTTTCAAAGGACATGACAAAATATGTGATTTAGGTAATAAAATAAGAAACTGATTATTATTTATGTTACAATTAGATATTTAGATTTTAATTTATATTTATTTACACAAAGGTTTGTTTTTGCACACTGCAGCCTGTCAGTGTTGATGATTAATCATCTGCTGCTCTGAAGCTGATTTTTCTAGTTAAACTGGTCGAACTGTCATATGAAATCTGAGCACAGGAAGTACTCACACCCTGGGTTCACAATAAAAGGATAATGTTTTTCATTTTGGATAAATACGAATCTTAAATGTATCGTGAAGTATCAAGAGGCGATCATTTTTGTCCCTCTTTATCAGTATTTATAATTTGATAAGCAGAAATGACACACGAGGATAAAGGGCTGAAATGTTTGTTGCTCTGAGGCATCGGAAACAGTATGCGTCATTATATAAACACCGTTTCCGGTGACACAAACTAATGAGATCAATCGCAGTGATCAATAAACACGAGATCATTTACGGTTGACAGGAAGCAATTTTCTGTCTTCGCCATTCTGTCTACAGGGAAGCTTTTATTTTGAAGGCTCAGGTGTGTGAGGCATTTGCAGGTAGACTGCGGTGTTTTTATTGTCACGGACTGAAGGAGCTTCCGAGAGCAGCACTGCCATTTGTTCCTGTGAGATCGGCTCATTTACACCACATCCTGCCACTGAAAACGCCAAACAGAGAAGTTTTCTTCATGGAGTCCGTACCTGTGAGGGGGCGGTCCTGCCTGCTGCGCTTCAGAGAGCGCTGTCCGTTCAGGAAGCTCTGCAGACGCACGTACGGTCAGTAATCTCTGTTTAAATAAAGCTTAGTGAAACTGCTTTTGCTTTTGTAATCAGCTTTCAATAAAGTTTAACAATAGGTGTGTTTTAACGTCATTAACGTGTTTAACCCTGATGAGGTCATCAGAGGCTGCAGGGCTACTCTGGGGGAGAGGCAGGGCTCACCTGGACAGGTGAGAAGTGTGATATACTTCACCTGAGTAGAAACGCCATAACAGGTCTAAATTAAAGCTGCTGACCTTCAAAACAGATTCGAACTTGATCAAAATAACTGTGTACACCTGCGTGACAACCACTGTCTTAGCTTTCAGTTCTGGTTTTAACTCCAGTTCCTCTTCTGGTCTATTTTCTTAGGTCCAGCTACAGTTGTGGTTCGGTTACAGTCCACTGTCAGAGGCCATAAGAAGATCATTTGTAACCTTCACTAAAGCTGTTTCTGTGCTGTGATGAGCTCTGAAACCTGACTGAAACTCTTCAAATAAACCATTCCTCTGCAGATGATCTGTTAGCTGTTTGACAACTACTCTTTCAAGGATGTTTGATATAAAGGAAGGTTGGAGATTGGCCTATAATTAGCTAAGACTGCTGGGTCTAGAGATGCTTTTTGAGTAAAGGTTTAACTACAGCCAGCTTGAAGGCTTGTGGTACATAGCTGATTATTAGAGATTGAAGCATTAATTAATGACAGGACTTCTTTGAGCAGTCTAAAAAGAGTTGTTACAAAGGGCATAAAGCACCTCGAGGTGACTCTTGTTGTGATTTGGCTGAATTGAACTGATTCCATTTCTATTTCCAGTCCTGATTTTGGTCAGAACAGAGAAAGAAATCAGTCTGTCCCAGAGGTTGCTGACTCTTTATTGCCTCCTGTTTCCTGTGGAACAGACATATCAGCAGCAGATTCATCTCCTATTGATCTACCTTGGAATGATGTCACCTTTCCCTCCACCAAGCAGCCAATGCTTCAGCCGTTCCCACCTTTGGCCAGGTGTCAGAGTGTCTCTCCTCCTGACCAATCAGACGCAGACACTCACATGGAGGAAGATTTGTGTGCCGCAGAGAACCATCAGAACCACCAGAGTCACCAGAACCAGCAGCAGGACGCAGAGGGCAAAGCAGACAACCATATGGGTGAGGACTGCCTGTGCTTTTAGTTTGAGCCTGCAGAAGCTGAACTGAGGAGTTCAAAACCAGATTTTTAGACCTTTGAAAGGAATCTGTTAGTTTCTGTCTTTTTCTCTTCATTATTTATATTTATGATTTCCTTGGAGACACATGCTAAACTAAAGGAGTCCAGTTAGCTCATTTAGTGGATTAATTGTTTCCAGTGACACATGAATTTTACCCGGACCTCACTGATGTTAACATCACAAATGGACCATAATGTACACTGACTGAGTGGGAAGCCGTGACCGCAGAGGTAACTGCTTCACCCAGGAGCTCAAAGGCTTGCCACTAGTTGAAATCTCTCTGATTTTTGTTTTGTTGCTTCTTCCTGTTTCAGAGCTCGATGATGACGTAGACCCAGAAACCGGAGAGAGAGCACAGGGTTGACCCCACCCCCTTTCTGTCAGGAACTGCTGCACCGCCCACATCATCCTACACCTGGGGGAAGAAAGAAGTCTGCTGCATAATCATGACCTAAAACATTGTCAGAATTCTAAAAATGTTTAAAGAGAATCTAGTTTAAAATAGATTTAGACCAGTAACAGATATATTAGATGACAATAACAGGTAAAGTAACATTTCTATGAAGAAATATGTGAACCTCTTATGATGATTAATAAAGGTAAAATCAGAGTCAGGTGTTTTCAGTTGAGCTGTTTATATTTAATTCAGTTCAGTTTTATTTATATGGTGCCAAATCACAACAGCAATCGCCTCAAGGCGCTTCAAGGTGCTTTATATTGTACAGTATTTAAAGAACTATCTATCTGAGTCTGATTTCCACAACATGTTGTGACTCATCACCAGATGAGAAGTGTGAGGATTTCAGAAAGAGACTTGTTGGTGGTCATTGGGCTGTAAGGGTTCCCAGAAGCTTCCCTACTTTTATATTTTTCATTTGTTGCACCAATCAGCATGCACTTTGTCACTCAGAGAGTAAAAGTCCTGGATTAGCAGCTAAGAACCAAAAACAGGTTCCAAGAACTTTGGCAGTTTGTACTTCCTGCAGCGTGGAGTGACCACAACTACGAAAATGTTCCCGCAGTCCAAAAGCATCTATGGTGGTGTCGTGGGTTGGGACTGCTTCAGTGCATACAGACCAGAACAGCTCACCATCACTGATGGATTTTAACTGAGAAGCAGGACAGCTGCCTGTGGATTGAATCGTGCAGCAGAGACAACAACCCTCAGCTCACAAGGAGAACATTAAAGAAACGTTCATGTGAGGAGATGTGAAGCTCAGAGTCCTCGGGGCTATTGGCCACAGCAGAACCTGGAAGCAAAGGTTCAAATACTTGATGTGATACTGGAACAGTCGCCTCAAGATGCTTTGTATTGTAAGTTAGACCATACAATAATTTAACAGTGATAACCCCAACAACCATATGACCCCCTATGAGCAGCACTTTGACGACAGTGGGAAAGAAAAACTCCCTTTTAACAGGAAGAAACTTCCGGCAGAACCAGGCTCAGGGAGGGGCGGGGCCATTGATTGGTTGGGGTGAGAGAAGGAAGACAGGATAAAGACATGCTGTGGAAGAGAGACAGAGGTTAATAACAAGTATGATTCAGTGCAAAGAGGTCTATTAACACACCTATTGCAGCATAACTAAGGGAGGATTCAGGGTCACCTGGTCCAGCCCTAACTATATGCTTTAGCAAAAAGGAAAGTTTGAAGCCTAATCTTAAAAGTAGAGATAGTGTCTGTCTCCAGAATCCAAACTGGAAGCTGGTTCCACAGAAGAGGGGCCTGAAAACTGAAGGCTCTGCCTCCCATTCTACTTTTAAATACTCTAGGAACAACAAGTAGGCCTGCAGAGCAAGAGCGAAGTGCTCTAATAGGGTGATATGGTACTTTACGGTCATTAGGGAGCGTTTACCCCATGATCAGAAGGTTGAGGGTTCAAATCCACCGAAGGCTACCTGCGGTATCCCTGAGCAAGGTACCGTTCCTACACATTGCTTCCTGGGTGCTGGATTGGCTGCACACTGCTTCACTGAGTGAATCGGTTAAATGCAGAGAGTAATTTCCCTACAGGGAAAATCCAGTTTTGAGATCCTTCCCAGACACCTTAACGCCCACTCACATCTAGGTTTCACAACGAGCTCACCCGAAACCCTGGCTGATTGTGACCCACACCCGTTTTCACACCTTGGGTTGTGTGATTAGGTAGAGGTTTATTAGGGGGTCCATTGTCCCTCTTGGCGGTTTACTCCCACAGGGCTTAAATCTGGGACTCTCCACTATTTGACCCTTAGAACTGAAAAAGCTTGTTGGATGAGAGGTGAAACGTCTTAAAGCAACTTAAAGAAGTCCAGACACTTTTCTTTCCAAGCTCCTTAGACTACGATAACCTGGATGACTGAGAACCTTCACAGACATACAGGGGAAAGTATACAAAAAAAAGATAAGATGGGGCCTGATTTAATCAGTTATGATTAGTATCATCAGTAAATAAAGTAGCAGGTCTGACTGGATTCTCTTTAAATGCTTTTAGGGCTTGTTTGAGGATCTGCTGAAGGTTTAGGTCGTACTACAGAAAGAGAGAAAATGTTAAAGGCTTTAATCTTTTTACTGCAACAGAAACACCTCCATTAATTGTTTGTCTGTTTTACAAAGAACCTGAAACCTGAATCAGGTTTTGTTTTGTGTACAAGAAGTGTCACTCATCTGCTGCAGTAAACCCGCACTCAGACATCAGTATAAAAGCTTCTGCTGTCCCCTGTGACAGAGTATTGGCACCAGGGCATAGCATTCAAAAGAAAAGCTTTTGTGTAAGAAGCACATGAATGCAGTCCAGGCAAGAAACTTGCAACATGTCAGAGGACGATGTGACCTTTGACCTGCTGACAATAAATATTTTCCCACAAAGTTCTGACTTTCCCATAAAAAATTTCCCATAAAAAGTTCTGACTTTCCCATCCCATAAAATCTTTCCTCAGAATGTGACCGAGCTTTGGATTTTTCTAAGATTATTTAACTTCCAGTTTGAAAACATGAAGTTCCCGGTGGCTGATTTCTGGTCAATAAAATGATTGATCGATTGATCTAATTTTAACATTTTGTGAGGTGATAAAATAAAAAGGTGATTTCTGTGGTGCAGATTTAATAATTTCCTTAGGGATCAGCTTACTTTTTTAGTATGGCGATTCTGCTTGATGAACTTGTTTAAACTTTTGTCCTTAGGTCTGATTCTAATGTATGGTCATCTTATTGATTACTGAACTATTGATGACAATGTGATGGCTCTATAAAACTGAATGTTTGGGGTTTTTTCCTCTGCTTTTGTGTGAACAATAAAGTTATTCAATACCGGGTATTTTGTGTTGTATCCCATCCATCCATTTTCTTCCACTTTTCCAGGTCGTAGGTCGTTGGTCGGGGGAACAGCCTAAGGAGATAAATCCAGGGTTAGGGTTAAGCTCCTTTTTGCTTGACATCACCAACAAAGCCAGATTAGGCAGCAAAGTAACCAGACTAACATTAACATTAGTGTAACTGGTCCAGATGTTTGACTGTGAAAGTGATATGCACCAGAGTGTCGTATCCTCCAGGTTGTTCTGTTTGTGGATAAGTTGGTACCATTAATTATTGATTAAGTCTTAATCTCTCTGTAACGTTAACGTCAATCTTTGATTGGTGTGCATCACAAAGTACAGCTTTAAAAGCCATCTGGTCCTTCAAGTTATTGTGTCCCCACAAACATTTTTTTTGTTTCTGTTGTTTTGTAGCATGTTTATATCTGCTGGTGTTTTCTTAGATCACAGACCGTTTGGCCCTCAGGGCCACCATCTTTATGTCCTATTGGGAGTGTCCCTTAAGAGGGTCGTTGGTCCACCATTGATACGTGCATATATTGATACAGGACAGCTGTACATCTGCACCTACAGGTGCTAATGTTTACATGTTCTCTTATCCTTATTAGGATAATCAGGATAAGAGAATGAACGTAGACTCTGCTGTTCTAAGTTGAACAGCAGAGTGCAGCTCACACCTGTACTTCCTGATGAAAGGCTCAGCGGCTTTGGGATTGGGAGTTTGGGATCAACCACACATGAACTCGGGTGTAACATCTTCCACTTAGTTTGGCACTTTTGCAGTAAAATATTTTCTACAATAATCCATTTGATGTGTCAGCAACACCAGAGAACATGAAAACATGGAAAACTTCTTTATTGACTTAAAAAACCAAAAGACAACATAATATTAAATCTTCTGAACGTTAATATTTACAGATTTTTTATGGACAGTAAACACATCAGTGTTTGCTTTCTTTTATTTTTAATAAAAGACGCGTTTTCATTGGATAAGATCTTCTGACTGGTTAATATCAGTCTTCCGTTTCATTGGCTGCTTCTGTCTCAATGGGCGGGGCTTCATCCTCTGAGCTGGTCTGACGTGCTGCTGTCCGAAACAAATGCATCAAATCCCGAAACCTGCGGGACACCTGAAGACACGACAGGAAGTTAATAAAGTGAGCAGTTGACAAACCGACCAATCATGCTGGAAGAACACTGAACAGCCAATCACCTCGCTGGGAGTCTTGTTGCCGAGCAGGCTAGAAATGGCCTGAAATGTGTTCTGATTGGCTCCTTCTTGCTGACATGTCTTCAAGATGACCCGGTCTGCTTCTCTGAAAAATAAACAAACAGTCAGGCCTTCCATAGGTGCCTCCTAACTCCTTTTCCTAATCACCTTTCCTTCGTCGAGGTGAAAGAAAGTACCTTGTCCACAGGATCACTTTCTCCCCGCTTGCAGTCAGAGAAATGTTTTTGGCACAGACAGGGAGGTCAGGAGGAAGAGGAGCTAACCGAGGAGGAGTGCAGAAGGCTGCAGACGTGGAGGAAGCTGTAGTGGCAGGCGGAGCTACAGAGGAGGAAGTAGAGATTGTGGAGGTGCAGGTAGAGGTGATGGAGAGGGTCACAGGTAGCGGTTGCAGTGTCTCCTCTCTCCTGCTCCTCTTCGCTGCTGGGCTCTGTTCCTTTTTCCTCTCCTCCTCTTCTTCCTCGCCCTCCTCCTCCTCTTCCTCCTCTTTTGTATCAGCCAGTGGAAACGAGCCTTCCCATGATGCATCACACCGATCTGTCAACACAAACAAGTTATTTAAAGCAAACACACACCTGTCTGCTAAAGGACCAACAGAGGATCGTGTGACATACCTGGCAGGGGACTGTCGTCGCCCCCCTTCAGGTCCAGGTCTTTGTTAGCTGGTTCATCATGGGTAGCACTTATCTGAGAGTAGAGTGGGTCCAGACTCTTCATGGCCCTGGACACGCCCCCTGAGGTCTAGAGGAGAGATGAACAGGTAAGTCAGGTGTAATTCTTTCTACGCGTTTCACCCCTGGTGAAACACACAGACATACCTTATTGCCATGGCAGCGGGTGCATCCTTTCCTCTTGTGTTTCTGGATCTTTGAATCACGACAAGGGCAGGCCCAGTCTTTATCGGACCAATCACAGCCCTGCAAAGAATAGTGTAAATCTGTCCAATCACAGGGTTGAAAACAGTAACAATGTAAATCTGACCAATCACAGGGCTGAAAACACAGCTGCTCATAGTGGCAGGACGTCAGCAGAAATAAGCAAACAATCCTGGATCCCGACTTCCAAAAGATCTGGAGTCATAACGGATCCAGATTTCCAAAAAAACAGACGTGGATTCTGACTTTGTAACGCTGTGGATTGTGTTTTTCTACAAACGACCTGGAGTACAGCTCTCCCCTAAAAGATTGATAAAAAGGAGCAGACAGGAAATAATCTGACCCCCTTCAGACCTTGTAGTTTCTGTGAGAGTCCATCTTCCTTCTTTGACGCCGGTTTGTCATTGGTTGGATCTTATGTCCCTCCTCTTCCTCTTCTAGTTCTGGCAACGTCACCTCCTCAAACCCGCCACTGGCCCCGCCTCCTGAATTTTGGCTGACGCCCTCTCCACCTTCCAACCCGCCGCCTCCATCTTCTGGCCAATGGGTTTCTTCAAACTGTCCAGGATGTGCTGGAGGTGGGCGGAGCTCGTCAAAAAACACCCAGAATTCAGCTTGTAAATGGGTGTGGCCTTTGAGCAGCATAGACATCTGAGCTTTGAGCTGAAAACATGAAACAGCTGAGATTAGCACAGGTTAGTTCCACCTGTCTGGTTAATCTGGTTCAAAGACCTCGTACCTCGTGGAGGCTGGTGGGACTAAGGTCCTGGCCTATCTGCAGAGCTTTGATGATCTTCTGGTAATGCGACGGATTGTCTCCAAAGCTGATCTCCAGCTGTCGAAGGAAACGGCGGCTGCGCTCAAACGCCTGCTGCTCGTCGAACTGCAGAAGCATGAAGAGTGAAAACACCGTTAAATTCTTGTGACCTGCGAATGGATGGAGGCATCACCATGATGTGAACTCGTTGTTACTGAGCTAAAAAGCTGCAGTGATACGGATACTTTCACGGAGCACATGAAACGAGGCACGGGGACGTTTGTTTATTCAAACGGCGCCGCTCGAGTTCTGCAGCACACCGCTGACATGCCGTTTTTTTACTTCCTGTTTAAGAATCCATAGTGCTTTGTTCTGATGCTGGAACGCCATCTGTAACTGCACGATCATGGCAGACTGAGTGCATGCACTCATGCCCCAGCTCGCCCGAACAGATGGGTGCAGTCCGAGCATGGCGGCCTGTACAGAGGAAGCAGTTGCGTCAGCCTCTAGAGACATTCACCGTCCTGCTGGCAGCTACGGCAACTCTTAAGGTGGAATGCTTTGCTGTATGAGCTAAATCAATCAGCGCACCTTAAAAAAAGAAAACGATCGATGATTCTTGTCTAAGGAGCTTGTAAAGAAAAGCGTCTGGACTTCTTTAAGTTGCTTGAAGACGTTTCACCTCTCATCCGAGAAGCTTCTTCAGTGCTAAGAGTCAAATGTGGAGAGTCCCAGATTTAAGCCCTGTGATCAATGACTCTCTAAACAAAATCTGCCCTTTGTGAACATGGAGATAAAAGGAGTGTCATCCTTCAGCTGTTCTCTCCTCTCATTAGGAAACTCTTCAGCCTCCTAACAGGTCCTCACATGAGGGGCTCTGTGATTGGCTGAGGCTGACTTTAACTTCAGTCGGAGCTTTAGGGATTAGAGATTTGTAAAAACACATTTTGAATTCATCACTTGGAGCCTTTATGAGGAAACTTAATGAACATGTAGCTGATGCTGAAATGCAATTGTGTGGGTTGCCATGACAACACCAGAAGCCAGCGCCTGAGATCGTTATATTGTTTTGCTTTATTTAGTATTCATGTTTGTGTACACTTACAGTGGAAAAGGATCACCTTTGAGTCCAGTGATACATTTTTTCTTACAAAAGAAAGTTTCTGTGAACATGATTGTGGAGTAGTCACCTCCTCTGGAGTCACAGGAACAACAAGTTGTGAGCGGCAGAGACAAGACGGACTTTTAGGGCTCTTCAACTTTTCTACTGCTGGTTTACAAAGCGTACACGGTAAAATTATGCTTGTTAAATTGTTAAGCACTTGTGCACTTTGTTAAAAGACATAAGTGTCTGAAACGGATGTTGTATGTGCCAATGGTATTATTTTACTTGCTTCTAGTTTTCACGGTGCTCCATGATTGTGAGCGGAAATAAAAAAGGAATTGTGGACATCAGTACGAAGCGTGGAGTTGATACAGAACACCTTGGGCTGTCATCAACAGGAAAACCAGCGAGTTTAACTCCAATGATAAAAACCACACGAGCTGCTCACCAGTCCACACAGCAGCGCCTGGTCAGGATGCAGGAAAGCGGCGAAGTCTTGGAGGAGGTCTGTCCGGTTTCCCAGGATACAGCGCAGTTTCCTGAACAGCTGCATCACTTCCTGTCCATCTCCCACCTGCTCAAACTCACTCAGCAGAGACACAAACTCCTCCACCTGCTCAGGTACATCATGCAGTGCCTCACGCACCTGTTGACACACAGGAGGAACATCATGAGCCCACATGTTCTAAGGAGAGACGGTGAATACTGTTGCCATAAAAACAAACAAAGTGAAGACCGGCCCCCTCGTACAGACTGTACGAACTTGAACGAGCGCCACGCCACACCTGTAAAATCAAATGTCACTTCTTTTCTTTTTACGCCATCCAAGCGATTAAAGGAAATACCAACTCCACCACCTACAGTGGGGCAAAAAAGTATTTAGTCAGCCACCGATTGTGCAAGTTCCCCCACTTAAAATGATGACAGAGGTCAGTAATTTGCACCAGAG